TCTGTTGAATGCTATTGCTTTATTCATTGCTTATATGTGGTTTAGTATATTTTTACTGGGCTGTGGCTCACCCTTTATGGGAACATCATTTTCAGGTTCAGGTGATAAGTTACCTCCAAGGACTTAGCTTGGAAGGACTAGGATTTTGAAGACTATTTTTAGTTATTTGTTTTTCATTGTTAGTACATGTAAACACTCAAGCCTAGGGCTTTATTTATATTTGAGTTAGAACTCATACTTTGTGTCCAAGTGTTGGCTTGGAAAGATGTAAGCCGGTAGGGCATTTACTTTGATGTTACATGTAATGCTTTTGTTTAGTAAGACTCTGATGGATATTATAATGAATTATTAAAGTGTTTTCTTTAAATAATGCATGTCAATGATATATATAATGGGTATATTTTTGAGGGCGTTACAATTAAGCCCAATTATCAGGTAAGCTTCCTATAATTTTACACAAAGGCTGGCTCAAAATTTATTCTAATAGGAAAAAAGTTAGATATTGATGTTCTTAATATAACAATAACAAAAGAGCAAAGAGAAGAAAAATGCCCAATACAATGACTAAGTTGACTTTTGTTGGCTATATCGTAGAATACCATATACGTCTATAATACCAGGAGGAAACACTAGATTAGTTGCAGCTCTTACAACAACCCGTGCCACTGAATTCACGTTCACTGGAGGTGTAAACAGAGGGCCAACCAATGGGATTTGGTTGAGTGGCTTCGCATGTTGGAGAACCTGCAGTGGTAACTTAACAACACTATTCTGATTTCATACCAGAAATCATCTTCTTTTGTCTCATAATCAATTGGAAGAAATTAATTATCTAAGAATTGTGCTAATGGTTGAGGGTATGAGAATTTCGGGAGCTTCTAAATGCACCCACTAAACTTTTCTCTACACCTACATGTACAAGTATTTCTCCATAAGATAAAAATTCTACAATGCATATGGTGGGTGTGAAGAAAAATTAAGTGGGTGTATTTAGAAGCACACAAAAATAACATGCACCCACAATTAGTTGCAAATTTCAATTGTAAATAATCAAAATTGCTATTAGTCATCATGCTCATAAGATGATTAAAGGATCTTGTAACAGATTATAAATAAATAATTGCCCTTAGGCTTGTGTTGTATTTAGTATATTAAGCTCAAACTAAACCTTCCCACAAAGACAATGTTTCTTCGCGACAATAAAGTCAAAAGTAGATCTTATGACATTCATTTCAATCATTCATAAGAAACTGAAAAAAGATTTGAAGAGAAAATTGAAAGATGAGATGACCAGTTCAATCAGATACCCTCACTGATAATATCCTTCAAAAGATACAATAGTATTGCGATGGTTGCTTGTTATGTTGATTTTCAACTGGACACTCCAGCAGCTTAGGTCCTATTACCCCAATAAAGAAACTCAAGTCCGGGTCTCCTTAACTTGCCTATTAAAGGAAAAATATATTTCCAATTTCCCAATTGTTGCTTACTAGGGAGAAACTTCAATTACTTTGAGGCAATTGAACCCAAGTACACAAATTGATCAAAGGTAGCACATACAACTTGATCTTAATACGAAATTATTGCCAAAGAAATTGAAGCACAAAACCACAAAAGATGTCCTTTATGCAATGGAACACTTTCTTTCTTTCTTTTTTTTTTTTGGAACACATTGACTAAATAAGAACTATGATACTGTGCTAAATAGAGATGTCAATAATCTTGAAGAGAGAATACGAATTTTACCTCCATATGGGAACCTAATCATTAGCTCCGTTTCAGCTGCTTTCTGCATCAGTTTATAAAGGCTACATTAGAAAAAAGAGAATGACAAAGAATCTTTAAAAACAAAAGAATTCAAGTATAAACTATGACAAAATTGAGATATTGTAGAAATTATTAATTACATGAGAAACATGGCAGTTGTAGAAATTATTTGATGTAAATACAATCTGGAGATATTCTATGTTCTGTGTATAGTACTCACCTTTCAGCATTAGTATTAGTTCACATTATACATCAATGTAATTTCTTTACCTCTTTATAATATATATATATATATATACGTGTTTTTAATTAAACTAAACAGTAGGAACCATTCAGTCCAATGCCATCCCCTGGGTTCAACAAAACTTTTAATTGCGAAATACAAACAAAAAATGTTTGCACATTTTATTTTTGTTTTACATAATTTGTTTGCAGTATAAAAATAACTAGAAAGCCAAATAGTACCTTCCCCTCATAATATCCTTATGGCAGGAAATTTGCCAAACTAATTTCCTAAATCCACCAAATACTTTTCAGCAAGAACATCAAAAATATATTTAGACAATATTTTCCGATGGTGTACTTTTTCAGCAAGAACATAACAATGTATGCAAAAATAGGTGTAGATACAAACTCACGAGAGAAAAAGGCTACAAGATCTCGAGTCTCTTAACTCCAATTGAACCCACGAATGGCCTCGTGTACACCCACATATTCCAGCATCGAAGAAAAAGTTTGTGATGCAGCTGAAGTTCTTTAGCTAGTTGCTGGAGTTCAAAGTGATCATCTGTCAAAAGTAACCTTGATTCTCAACAAGTACAATACAATTCTGGAAGTCAGCAACCATGATTTAATGGGATAAAAATAGCCCCGTCACCATAAAACCGAGAAAGAAAAACTTGGAAGAACTATATGGGACATGAAACAAATTAACCTGGAAGCAAGTTAAGCCTTTGATGTCATCTTTAGTGACAAATAGCCATCTAGAAAAAGAAAAATATAAAAAATAGAAGAAGGTAGAAAAGAAAGAGATAGAAGTTTAAAGGCATAACCAAATGAAATCGAAGAGGAAGAGAAAAAATGCCATGCTCAACAACGGTTCATCCAAAAACCACACTCAAATCAAACCAAGTATAATACTTTCAGAATCACACCCTTATGTCTCATTTTCAGAATCATACTTTCAGAATCACACCCCTACACTTTCAAAGAAAGGAACTAAGAATTTTAAGCAAGATCACACCCCTATATCTCACAGAATTGAACAATCAAAGCTAAATTCAGAATCTAAAAAAAGGTCTACTCAACCACCACACATATAAATCAATAAAGTTCCACAATCAAAATCATCTGATTAAAAAAAATGAACACAAACCCTAGAAGACAAATTGACAATCAAACAAGAAACAAAGTGAGACCAACAATGTCAAAATTTTACACATAAAAAAAATGAACTATTACTACAACACAAAACATATATATATATATATATACATAAACCCTAAAACTATCGTAAAACCCCAAATCAATGACACTGAACAACATAGTCATACAAAATCAATTCACATGTCGTCGATGTAGATGTGGCCTAGAAGATGAATCGAGTAGGGCCATTCATCCTGGAATGTAATCCCCTGCGTTGAAACCTAGAGCGATAGAGAGAGAGAGAGAGAGAGAGTAAATTAGGGTTTGATAAGAAGAGAGATCAATAATGGAATAGAAGGATGGGTAATGTGTGTGCCTGAAGGATGAGGTCATCGCAGATATCGGCGATCTTGTCGTAGGATTTGGAAGCCATTGTGTCGCTGTGGATCGCTTACGACGGTCAGATCTCGACCTAGGATTTAAATCTGATTTAGATTTCGACGATCTTCTCGGATCCGGTAGAGGCACCAGTGGAGGAGAACGAGAAGGAAGAGGATCATCGACGGCGGTGGGTGTTTAGAAGAGAGAGAGAGAGAGAGAGAGAGGCACCAGCGGAGGACAAAGGAGGATCATCGACGGCAAAGGGGATCTGCGGCCGTGGCCGTGGCCGTGGCGATCTGTGCCGGTAGTGGTGGTCTGCGGTGAGGTAAGGTTTGGTGGTGAAGGAGAATTTGTGTGAGGTTTGAACAAATGGTTGTAAATAGAGAACAGCAGCGGTGATATATATCCCACTAAAAAAACATTTCATCTTTAGCGACTAAATTTGTTTTTTGTCGCAGAATCTTAATATATAACGACTAAAATTTGGTCGGCCATTGTCTACCAGTGCATTTAGATATCAAAACGGCTAAATTGTATTAGTCACTAAAAGATTATATTGTTCCCGCCCAATTTTTCACCTCCTAACATCATTTTTAGCGACTAATATTTTAAATTGGCCGCAAAAAATCACTTTTTTGCAACAAAATTACTTTAGTCGGTAATAGTACCAACTTTTAGCTACGAAATGTTTTTTGGTCGGCAAATGTCATTTTTTTGCGATTAAAATTTTTTTAGTCGGCAAAAGTGGTTGGCAAATGGGTAAATTCTTGTAGTGCCTAATTCAACATAGTTTAAGATTTTTACGTTAATATTCTTACTAACACACTTGTTAACCTCGGTAAAACCACTATTATTTCGGAGTGTGTTAGTAAGCATGTTAGTAAGAGTGTTAACGTCTACATACACGTAAAGCTAAGCAAGAAAATTGAAAAATTCGCAAACTGAACCGATCCAAATCAATCCTGTATATTTTGTTTGATTTTTTAAATTCATGGTTCGGTCTTCATTTGAAAAATTGGAGAACCAATCTCCACATATTGGTTCCAAATTTAGGTCCAAGGTTCTAGATTTGAACCAAATTGGGCTGTATAATTTAAACCATTTATGTTTATTTATTATATATTATGTTTAATGGTGAAACAATATGCATGTTTATGTTTTGAAAAATATGAATAGTGAATTTGTAAGGCTGAGCCAACATGCACATCCTTATTATGTACTTTACCACTTCATAGCAGCCAATTTGTTACCATTAGGTAAAGACAATTGTGGTTTCAAAACAGTCATTTTAATTTTTAAGTATTGATAGACAAAATCCAACAAATAAATAACTATCGCAGTAACCAATTTTTTATGGTGGCTACAAATATAGCTAACAAAGTGAGTCCATGGAAGTGATAGCTCCAAATAATACAAGTATATTATATATTTGAAGGGGGCAAAAAGCAACATACAAAGATGAGTGGAATCCCCTTTCTGTTCCAAAACACAATTGTAGTGGTTGTTGTTACAACAAGTTTTTTACACAAAAAAAAAAAACAATCATAGACTAAAAAACAGGAAACTTTTTCACTTCACCCACTTAGATTATTAGACTAAAGCATTAGCTCCAGCAACAATCTCCAAAATCTCTCCTGTAATCTTTGCCTGTCGCTGCCTATTATACACAATTGACAGTGACTTCTTCAACTCGACCGCATTATCGGTGGCATTGCTCATAGCACTCATCCTAGCAGCAAGCTCACTAGCCAATGACTCCTGCAATGCCCTCAAGATTTGGCTGTTCAAATACAAAGGCAACAAAGCATCAAGAATCTGAACCGGGTCTTGCTCGAATTGTAAGATAGACGAAAACTTGATCGTTTGAGTGTGCACCACATCTCTTTCCACTGTCAATTTCCCTTCCCTCGTCGTCAACCTGAAAAACTCATCTTCTGTTGCATCAACACAGTTTCCATTCACATCACAAATCTCTCCCTTGGGAGACAGAGGAAGTAGCGTATGAATCACCGGATCGGCCTTAACCAACGACACGAATTTGGTGTATAAAAGCTCAACTTTGTCGACTTCTTCGCTTATAAAGAGCGAAAAAACATCGTCAGCGATCGCCTGAGCTTCTTTTGCAGTAGGAAGATTGCCTCTTTCGAGAAACCTGTCCACTGGAATATAAGGCCTGCGAAGAAAATAAGAATTACCCTTTTTTCCAACACTGATTACAGTGTAATCAAGACCCAAATTCTTCAAGTCAGCCATTCTTGATTCAGCTTTCTTAATAATTGCATTGTTGAAACCGCCACAGAGGCCTCGATCGCCTGTGACAACCACCAGAGCTACTTTCTTGACAGGCCTGACATTGGTGAGAGGCACATCAATGTCATCTGTTTGAAGCTGTTCATTGATGTTGTAAAGAACTTCGACTAGAGTCTCTGAGAAGGGTCTGCCATTAACAACAGCTTCTTGTGCTCTTCGAACTTTCGCTGCAGCGACAAGCTTCATTGCTTCAGTGATCTTCTGAGTGTTTTTGACAGAGTCTATGCGTTTGCGAAGCTCGCGGAGGCCACAGTGAATTGGGTTCACTGAGGGTGATTTGGAGATGGAAGTGGGTGAGTTTTGAGTTGGGAGTTGAAGAGGGTTGAGAAGAGAGCGAAAGGAGAGAGAAGAAGGATCGGAGAGAGATGGGTTTGGAGAGATTAACATTGTTAGATTTGAGCAAGACATGGTTTGGTGTTGGTGGTTTTTATTTTTTATTTATTTTTTTATGCAAAGACTCAACAATGGAGGAGATGGGGAGAGGAGTTTTTTTGGAGTTGTATCTTGATGTGGAGGTGGTGTAGTTGCAAAGGGTTGTGTTGTGTGTTTGTGGTGTAGTGATGTGATGTGGTGTGGTGTGGTGTGGTGTGTTGTGGGAAGGAGGGAAATGAGAGGTGGAGGGAGAGGGATGGAGAGATTTGGATGAGGTTTTGGGATAAGATTTTGAATGTTGGGGATTTTGTGGTGTGAGTGAGATAGGGACATTGATTTGGACTCAACCATGTTTTTGACGATTAGATTTGTTCATTTTTAAAGTTATTGTACATAAATTATTTGTGAAAAAAATTAAATTAATATGATAATTGTAATTACGTAATGATTATTCTATTTTTTGGCCTATACATAGTAATTTAGAAGATATACCAATCTAATTATTGGAGCATGACTCGTGATGTGTCCTATCCATTTGGTGGGATGGAGGAAGTTGATTAATTATTAGTTTAGTTTAGGGAAAATTGCCCAGACCCCCAGTGGGGGTGACCCCAGGTCCGGCCCTGAGGGCAAGTCGAAGAGGCCTGCGCCTTGGGCCCCCAGATTTGGGTGAAAATATGGTCCCAAAATATGATTTTATGTTTTAGATATTAAAAAAAAAAAATCCAAATACTATAAGTCCAATTGTATATGGGGCCTAAAAAAAACAAAATATATCATGACAGATTAGAGGCCCAACTAACATGGGCCCAAAAACAAGAAACGTATTATAATTTATAATACCCACCAAGGCTAAGAACGTGGGTCACTGAAAGAAAACAAACATTAGAAAATTAGAAAATTTCTGGAAGTATTAACATTAGAAAATTTCTGAAAATTAGAAAATTTGTGGATTTGTGATTATATAGAGTAGTCATGCCTCCTAGGAAGTATATTTTTAGATGTGAAAAAAGGAAAAAGAAGCAAAAATTAGAGAATTTTATTCAATCTCAATCGAGAGCGCTTGATAAATTTTTTGGTAGCAAAAAACAAATAGAAAGTTCATGTTTGGTTGATGAAGAAGTTGTTGTAAGTAAATTTTTTTGTAACTACAAATAAATAAAAAAGTTATTGTAACTTATCGTTTTATCCATCAACTTTTTTTTTTTAATGTAAGAAAGGTTCTATTTCCGAAGGTCGTCTTGGGCCCCCTAAATCTCAGGGCCAACCCTGGGTGACCCCCACCACCCCCACCATTTTCTGATTGGTGAAAGTTGTTTTTTTTTTCAAGTCTTGCTATCACAACCCCCCACGTGGAGGTGGGGGTGCTGGGGGTCCCAGCAGTACTGTTTAGTTTAGCTAGTTATATATTTTTTGCTAAAATAAATGTGTAATATTTATATTTTGTTTTTTGTGTCAATTTAATCATTATAATTTTAATGATATCAATTTTATTTTTAAATTTTCACATTGCATCAATTTAATCAAATTGGTAATGCCACTTCATAAATTGGACTGAAATTAAAAGAAAAAATAGTTCACTCACTTTTCTCAAAATGATTGAGGGTTAGCATCAAATTTGAATTATTGACCCATTCAAGGGAATAGATCATTTTGCTTTTAATTTCTATTCGAGTTCTTAATGAATATTATCAAATGAAATAAATTAATATGAAGAATTTAATTTAATTTTTTTTTCGGGATACAATTGAAATTATAAGGACCAAATTGACATAAGAGACAAATTGCAGAGATTGAATATAATTTGTTCTAATTTTTTTGTGAAATAACTTTTTTCACAATATTTATTTCATGAAGTTAATTTAATTTTGATGTGTATTCATATAACAAAAGTGATGTGTATATATAAAATTCACTATATATATTATTTTTAAAAAATATTATTTATTGCATCAAATACAAAGCCACAGTGAAGAGTCTGAGTAAAATATTTTACAACAATGTTAGGTATCATAAAAAACTTTTCATGAAAATAATCATAAAGCTTTGTGACCCTTAGATTACATTTAGAATAAAGCACCACACACTAATCAAGGTAGTCCAAGGATCATAAATCTTTCATGATCATTTTCATAAAAAAAAAAAAATCATGATCCCTAACTTTTCTCAATATTTTAATATGTATTGCAGTTTTCAATATTTTTAAGAGGGTGCGTGAAGTTTTGCTTAATTATTTTCGAATGCATATAGAATGTGATTATTGGGCTAAAATTCTAGAAATTTTTTTAATGGGACTTACATGTAGGTCCTAATATGTAGATTTATTATTCAATAAGTCTTATTTTCATAATGTAACACATATATAACATAAATTAAACCCATCTCTCAAACAAATAAATAACTAAAGGATTTAGGGCTTGTTATCACAATCCTCATAAACGAGGTTAACCAAACTACAAATCTTTCAATATACATAACATTTACCAACACCTTTTTTATTTCTCCAAAATTTCGATTCTTTAACAATTATTACAACTTAACAATTATAAAATCATAGATAACAATTAACACAAATTAAATTCATGATAACTTTCTTTATTGTCTTACAGACCCATTTTCACATTTTTAATACACAATACCCCATATGGTTCAAATAAAATCAAATCATCAATTTTTCTCTCTTTCTCATAATCCATAAACAATTAATTAGGACTTTTTACTCTAATCCTTTTATACATATTTCTCAAACTTACAATCTCATATATTCACAATACAATACAAGATTTAACTCTAGATCAAAAAATCCTAACCTTCATCACATGCTTTTCAAAAATACCCAGCAAATCAAGTTTTTAATATAATAAAAACTACTACATGTCTATTTATAATGAGACATTAAAAAGGAGCAAAGAAATCCCTACTTCAAAGAGAGAAGATGAAAAAAACCCTAAAAATCAATTTTGTCGGAATTTGATCTCCATCGATCAAAACGTAGCCCTCGAGATACTCGTCATTTTTGTATAAGGAATTAGTATCAAAATCTCGCTTGATCTTTATGGATCGAAGAGAATGTGAAATTTGGTGACAGTTTGGAAAGAATGGAGAGAAAAGAGAAGTTAAAGAAAGAGAGTGTGTGAGTGATTTTCTTATCACACTGCCTGTTTAGTAATCAGCTAGAGAGCACCGGCAGAATAGATGGCTTCAGCTAACCTGTAACAGAAAGAAAAGGCTTCGGTGGTGGCTCTTCCACCAGGGGGCACTCCGACGATCAAGTCAGTATATCTCTCAAAGATATTCAAGTGCTAAACTCACTACTGAAAGCATAAAATTGCGTTCCTTAGACCCACGGGTGCCTCTCTTTTATAGTTAACTCAATCTCAGTCCCACTAGAAGCCTGACTTCTATGGACTCCCATTCAGTGCTTACTTTGGATTCCTCAAGAGATAAAGATAAACTCCCTAAGAGCTTTATCCTTATCTTGGCTAAGTCTCCTCTTTACTCTAGGACTCATGTCCCTTATCTTTTATCCATTTATCTCGGATTCCGATATCTTCGGAGATAACCTCAGCAACTCAGAGATAACCTCGGCATAACTATCACGACACGTGGCACCTCGGCTGACACGTCGGCGTCACCATGCCACGCGTTGGTACTCAGGAAATATATCCCCACAACTGCCCCCTAGGTTCTATTACCTTTGAGCCACTTTTGAGCCACAAAATTTGAGCTACGAGACATTTTCCTTTTAAAAAATACTTTTTCAATAAAAATGGACTTTTCAACCCATTCGTTGGACTATTTCAAAATATTGAAATCTTTAAGTAGGGGGGAATCTTAAAGTAAAATATTTGACATTTGGGGTGTTTAAAAAGGAAAAATTAGTCTAAGGTCTCTCTCCTATTTTTAGTAATGGAAGAGATCTATAATATTATTTTATGATGTCTAAGGTTCCTCAACACCACGTATACCTCACGGCTTCAAACCTTCACCTCTCTCTCTCTCAGACTCACATCTCACCTCTTCTCTCTCCTCGCTGCTCTTCTCTCTCTCTCATCGATCCAGCTCGATCAATCTAAGATCCCTATGTCAAGAACTCCTCGGCCACTTCTTGCTTCGGTTGAACCGGCGTATGAAGGTCTTCTACCATGGCTCGGGGACGCCGTATGAAATGATTGATATCAATGTGGTGTGTTGTGTTGTGTATGGGGTCTCTCAAAATGGGTGTGTGTATCTCCTTCTCCCTCCCTAACCTGAGAGAGAGAGTGTGAGATCTCTCATTTTCAAAATGCAACCCACCCCCATGAACCACACCTTCTTCACGACCTTTTCTCTCTCTAGACACCCATCCCTCATATCATAACTTCCTTCCCTTTTTATACGTGTGTTCTCCTCTGCCTGAATTCAACAGAGAGAGAGAGAGAGAGATTGAGTTTCCATTTGGTCCACCAACTTTAACACCCCTCCAACCCATCACAAGATAGAACCGAAGATGATAGTCTGAGAGAGAGAGAGAGAGATAGTTTCAGAGATAGGTCCGTCTCTTGATAGAAATGGGTGCTTACTCCCCTCCATGTGGGACATGTATGTATAGATCGGACATGCAGAGAGAGATTAGAGAGAAATGGGTTTCTATGGTCTCCATGCCCGTGTGTGCTGCTGTGTCATGCGTATATCAGTGTGTGTATTTTTTGTCAAAGCTGCCGAGAGAGAGATTAAACATCAATTTTAATCTTTTTTTTGTCAAAGCTACCGAGAGAGAGATTAAATATCAGTGTGTGTATAGATTAAACATCAATTTTTATTTTTTTTAAAGAAAAGAAATTAAATGATTAAACATGGGAATTGTTTATTCCAAGGCATATTTTGGGAAGTGATTTTGTTTTGGAATTTCTTTGGATTCCCAGAATTTCTCTGGAGGAAGAAGATGAACAAAGAAGATGATAATGAAGGCTTTAGGAATTTCTCTGGGAAGTCCAGAATTTCTTTGGAGAGAAATTTCTCTGGACTTCTCAGAATTTTCTCTGGACAAAGAAAATGATGAAGGCTTTAGGAATTTCTTTGAGAAGTCTAGAATTTCTCTGGAAAGAGAAATTTCTCTGGACTTCTCAGAATTTCTCTAGACAAAGAAGATGATGAAGGTTTTAGAAATTTCTTTGGGAAGTCCAGAATTTCTTTGGATTTCTCAGAATTTCTCTAGACAAATAAGA